TGTAAAAACAATGTTGCTCCTAAAAAGAAATTTCCAGTCACTTTTTTCCTATAAAAGAATGTAATAATAAAGATTCATCATGTCATTGTTTTTATTATTTTACCAGCAGAGATTAAGTACCATGACCAATAACTTATTTTATTTAACCCAAGAAATATTTTTGATCACCTATAATATGCCCAGCATCATCTAGGCAATGATCTATTTTGGGTGAAATAGATATTGGATTCATTTTCTATGCTACTGTTCCTGTTTTTCTATGATTCTCTTAATATACATATGCACTTCTAACTATTTTAAATGAGGATATAATAATAACATAAAAATTTGGGAGACTGCTTTCCTGAGCAAACCAAGCATGAAGACTACAGATACTCTGCTGTTGTAATCTCAGAGTTAACCAAATTTTACTTTAATGAGAGATTATTTCAACTGATAGAAGGAGAATGTCACATCGTGAGCACAGCTGTGATTTTTATCTTTAGTTCAGAAGCCAGAAAAGAAAGTTGCTTCCTGTATAAATAAGGCACAGATGATACAGCGTAAGTATAAATTCAGTGATTAGATAGCCACTCTCTGGTTTAATGAAACTCACCTAAGAAAAACAAAGTGATGGAAAAAGTCTGGACTGAGAGTCTGAGAACTCAGTGTCACATGGTTCAGTTCTGCCTTTTGGTGATGACTTTGGAAAGCTCATTTTACTCCTCTGGTCTGCCATTTCCATTGATTCAGTTATTCATCCAAGTACCAGAAATTCATGGAATGGTTGTTCTGTGCCAGGGATTGTTTTGTTGGAGTGTGGGTATAGAACAAAATCCAAGATGCCCTCATGGGATTTACAGCATCAGTGAAGTATTTCTGAGAACCAGGATACATTACTTGGGTTATGATTTGTGGGCTATGTAGACTTTTGAATTACAGCATATATCCAATAAGTCCACTGGACTTCAGTTTGAATTTTCCTCTTTTGCTTGTGCCATATAAAATACTTTGTCCTATACTTATTAGTGCGGTAAGTCATATTCTCCAAATAAGTTTTCTACTTTTAAGGTAAAAAATTGTATTTTGTAAATTACTTTGCCTTATTTCTTGTTATAATACATATTTGCTGTGGAGAATGTGAAAAACACAGACAAATATAAGGACTGTAAGAATCACTTAGAATTCTATCACCTAACAAGAACCCCTGTTACACATGTGTTTATCTTATCTACTTTCAGCAGTTTCATTAGGCATGTACTTTTTTGATTATTTTTGCAAAATTTGGATCAAAATTCTGTAATTTTATGTTATACCTTTCTATGTTATGAACAATTTATTTCCTCATGTATAAACTCCTACCCAAATTTCAAAGACTTCTTAGTTAATTTGGTGAGTAAAATGAATTAATCTATTGTTTTATTTATTACTTTGAGCACCAGTGAGGTTGAACATACACCTGATTATTTTTATTATGAAATAAGTTAGAAATATAGAATATAGGTAATAATATAATGAGCATCCATGTACCCAGTATAAGCTTAAGAAAAAAAGTTACAGATATAATTGTAGCCTCCAGTTCTTCCTGGATATGTTTCTACTTTCCTCTCCCCAGAGATAACCACTAGCTACAACTTTTTATTCCCATGTATAATTTTTGTACTGTTACTACAAATGTATATATCCCTAAAGTATATGCAACGTTGAATGTTTTATAACATTAGAGTATTGATATCACAGTAGAACATGTATCCTATGGTAACTTTTTAAAAGCCTAGTATTATATTTTTTGCTATTCAGTCATGTTGATACATGGAGCTCTAGTTCAATAATTTTCACAGCTTTATAAAAATCCATTATATGAATATATGTAATTTAAGTGTTGATGGATATTCAAGTGGTTTTCATTTTCATTATAAGCAAAAAATGTTGCAATGAACATTTTAATACAGTTTTCCTTGTGCATATGTGAGAATGTCTCCATGGTCTAACTTTGGAGAGAAAGTGCTGGGTCTTAGGATACATACATCCTCAGCTTTACTAGATATTGCCATATTGGTTTCCAAAGTGATTGTCCTGATTTACACTTCTACAGTTCTGTATACGTATTCTGGTTGCTCCACATTCCACCCAATCATTGGTATCATCAAACTTTAAATTTTTAGTTAATCTGAGGGGTGTGAAATGGTATGTGAGGTATGGCTTTAATTTGCACTTTCCTTATTACTAGTGGGTTGAGCATTTTTTGACAGGCTTAATGACATTTTCTCTTCTGTAAATTGCCTTTTATATCTTTTGTTCATATAAAAACTAGACTTTTTTGCTTTATTATTTGTGATTTTTTTTTTTTTTAAGATAGAGAAAGCATGAGTGGGGAGGGGCAGAGGAAGAAGGAGAGAATCTTAAGCTGAGTGTGGAGCCTGATGCGGGGCTCCATCTCACGACCCTGAGACCATGACCCAATCTGAAACCAAGAGTCGGATGCTCGCCCTGCATCGGGCTCCCTGCTTGGCGGGAAGCCTGCTTCTCCCTCTCCCACTCCTCCTGCTTCTGTTCCCTCTCTCGCTGTGTCTCTCTCTGTCAAATAAATAAATAAAATCTTTAAAAAAAAAAAAGAGTTGGATGCTCAACTGACTAAGCCACCCAGGTTGTTTTTACATATTCATATTAGTCTTTTTTTGGTCGTATGCATTGCAAAAATCTTCCACTCTCTGTCCATCTTCTGAGTTTGTTGATGGAGCCTTTTATAGGCCGAATTTTAAATTTTAATGTATTTGAATGTAACCACCTTTTCCTTTATGGATGGTGATGATTATGTCTTATCTTTTCCTACCTTAAGGTCATAAAATAGTCATAAGCATTTAGTTTCATTTTTTATATAAAAATGTTCAATCCACATGAAATTTATTTTTTAATATGGTGTGAGGAAGAGGTATGATTTGATATTTTTCTACAACTAATGACCTCAGTTTCATTTATCAGATAGTCCATTCTCTTCCCACCAATATACAATACAACCTTGCTCATATATAATTTCCATATATGTAAGGGTATGTTTCTGGGTTCTGGGTTCTCTGTGCTCTTTCATTAGTCATTTTGTATAGCTGTGCCATTAATATGCCAATTAATTCCTATAGCACCATAATAAGACTCAACACACTGCTTCATATATTGTACAAACCATGCCTAGTATCTGATACCAGGCTGAAGGGATGGGTTCAGTCTGAAACCCAAATCCTGCTTTGTACACCCTGGCATAGGGCTGTGTCTGCCTGGAATGAGAGATGCATTTTTCTAATTCATAGGAAGATGTTGTCAGACACTTTCTCCTCCTCTGGGAAATTGACCAAAGGTAATAGAGGTCCCGACTCAATGTCTAATTGGGCAATTCTCCCACTTTGTCCTTTCAAAAGTGGTATCATTTCATCTCTACGTTCACCCATTTCACCCCTTTCTCCACCACTGGATTACTCTGAAGCAAATCCTAGCCATTCTATCATTTCGACTGTAAATTTTAGCATATGACTGTAAAAGATAAAAAGTGTTTATGACAACAAACATATTCACAATATCGAGGTTGAATTAGAATGTGCAATTCTACTAACATAATGTATTAGGGCAGCCTCGTTCATTTTGATTACAGTGGTAGAGTGTGAAGAACCTTCAGCTTGGCATTGGGAGATCTACCTGGGTTTAAGTCATGGCTCTCAACTTTCTATCTATGGACTCAGACAATAATCTTCTCATCAACACTATATCTCAATGTCCTCATTAGCAAAAGAAGGGTAAGTAGTTGTCTCACTCATTTCAGAATTATCATCAGATGAGGCAAGAGAAGTGGAAACAAACCATCTAAAATTGTGAAGTACTAAGTTTCAGTCCAATTCTCTCCTTTGTAAATGACTCCCAGGACAAATAATCTGAAAGCAACAGATAATCTTTGTTCAGCCTTGTCTACAGTGTCTCTTGCTTAGGTTTCTCTTCCTGAAAAACACATTACTTTGGTTCTTTTTATTTTTATTTTTTTTAACTTTAGGGTTATAGACACTTAAAAGTAATTTTAAACGTCAGGGGATCAATGTTGAAGTTTGTATCTTTCACTTTTTCTGGTTTTCCGCTTTCATCTTTTCCTTTACCCCGTGTTTTTCTTTAAATGGCGCTGAGAACTGATTATTCTTTGGTGTGCCCCAATTATCAAGACCCTACGAAGTGCAAACTCAAATTTTCAAAAGTTAATTTTAGTGGACTTTTGGCCATCAGAACTCTAGATAACCAAGGGGGGGGGGAATTATTTGCTCTCCTACCAAATGCCACAACAACCATAGAAAAAAGCCTTAGCTGGGCACATTTTGATTGCAAAAATCTCTTTCCATCCTTGGGGGGAAATCATTCATTTCCCTATAGGGGGAACTCCAAAGAACATGTTTTCCTAAAAGGGGCCAACTGGGCGGTGTCCTCCTTTCCTAACGCCCAGATTTCTATTCTTAGATCTGGAGATAGGCGGAGGCTTTCATTTTTTATTTTTCCTAGTTTGCAGACCCTCCGCGGGGCTGGAGGATCCCAGGCTGGAGGGTCGGGCGGGTGGCCCGCCAGGCTGCCGACCGCGCGCCTCCTCCCGCCGCGGCTGCGGGGCTCCGGGCCTGGGGACTCCGCGGGAGTGCGCTGAGTCAGTTTCTTCCACCAGGACTCCCGGCCGCGCCGCTGCGGCGAACGGGATCCGGTCCCGGGAGGCGGCGCTCTCCGGGATCGGGGACCGGGCCTGGGCCCGCGCGGGGGCCACGGTCACGGTCACCCCGGCCGGATCCAGCTCAAGCCGCGACCCGCCGGCCCGCCCCGGTTCTGCCCGGCGTAGCCCTGCCTCGGCAGAGCCTAGCGCAGGCCACTGAGCTCATTTTTGGGGCCTGGGTGGGGGAGGAGGAAGCCGAGGAGGAGGGCTGGGGAGAGGGAGGGCAGCGCAGGGCGGGGAGCCGCCGCCTTCCTCATAAACAGGCGGGCGTGGGTGCGGATGGGGCCGGCGGGGAGCGCTGGCTGCGGGCAGTGAACTGTGCTCGTCCCCGCGAGCCGCGGCGGCGCCCGGGCCCCTTCCCGGCGCAGCCGGCCTTCGTGAGGGAGGGACGGTCGCTTTGGAGCAGAGTCCATCATGGCCAGTGGCAGCTGTCAGGGGTGCGAGGAGGAGGACGAGGAAACTCTGAAGAAGTTGATAGTCAGGCTGAACAATGTCCAGGAAGGAAAACAGATAGAGACCCTGGTCCAAATTCTGGAGGATATGCTGGTGTTCACGTACGCCGACCACGGTAATCATTCGCAAGGAAACTT